GGGTTCTTGAAGCCCCCCAAAAACCCTCTGGATCCATCAGTAAAGGGTATACTAAATGGTTCACCATTGTGACAAATAGAACATCACCGGTTCAGATTGGCAGATTTCTGTGGACACTGACCTAAGGATCATATGTAAACATGGTTAAATCGCTTGTAAGATAATACATCTTGGTGATCTGGAGTCCTCCTGACGTTCACCTTAATAAACCATAAACAAGTCACAAATGTAACTACACTCAGATATAGGGCTTTCACATTGCTTTTATTTGTGGTCAGAGGATAAATAAGACTTTTTGAACTGTCAGAAAAAAATGATAATTTTGTATTGGAACTGGACGAACATCGCCGACCAGGTAGCTCAATTGATAGCTAGAGCATCTATCTAGAGTTCAGAGAGCCCCAGGTTTCAACACCGGTCTGGCCGTGGATTTTCCCATCTCCTGTTACCTCCAAATCTAGAAGATCACTGTTTGTGGTGACTTCTATTTTTGTTAAATAACACTTGAGCAGGGATGTGTATCCACTACACATCCCTGATTTGAGTTAGAAATAAATTTTCTTTTTAAAGAGTTGAATGTTACTCGGTTTCAGATAATTTAAAGTTTACAATCGATGTCTCGTATTCACTATGGACACAGGGTTTAATGTCATGATGTTGGTAAGACTTTAACTGTGCAAAACACAAACAACTTTTTACATACACAGTAACCAATCATAACGGTATGTGACGACGTGTCGACAGTTGCATGCAAAGACTGTCAGTTCAGATTATGTAGAAAACGATATATTATTCACGTGCACACGCGTTGCACATCCTGTAATCTCTAACATCACGTGCGCTCTCAGTGCACATGAATCGCGGCATCATAACACAACATACCTTTTTTGTTTTTGTTGCGGAACATCTGACACCGGCGGTACGTCCTCCATCTTGCGATCATGTGACCACAATTTTGTTGTCTTACATGGTCGTACAGACGCTTATATATCAAGCCACCGCCATTCTGGAGCGGTACGCTGTTTTTAGACTGTTCCGCAAAGATTAAACGATGGATAAAAATTAGGATAGAACTTTATTACCACTGTAAACTGTATAATACGACCAATAAAATAGGTCCTTTCGCTCATTCGGCGTAAAACCCCACAAGGTTAGCGCGGGTAAAGGAGGGAAGCCGACAGTCACAGGACCTATTAGTTATAGCACGGACTTAGATATTCTAATTCCGTGGTTATAGGTAGCCTGAATAACGGGAATATCTGTTTAGTTTAGTATCTGACACAGCTAATAGGGGTACTATTAATAATATACAATAAATCAAAATACTCAAACCAATTTTATAAAACAAACAACACAGCGATGTTATACCTAATAAAACATAATATATAAATTATGGAGATGTTTACACACATATACATAAAAGTAAACACCATCCCCAAGGACGATATCCTCCCACAGCCAACCCATCTCCTCCCCCACCCCCTCCCAACCATCCCCAACCCCTCTCCGGTCCATACATCTAGCACTCGATACAGCCCATAAATCTATCGGCACATCTCTTTGATACCCATCACTTCTTTCAATCTCCAACCCCTCCCGCTCCCACATCAATGTTATAACCTATAACACTAACCTCCCACCACCACCCATTTTCTCTTTTTTCCCCCCATACCAATAATCACACTATACACTAACAATCATAAAATGTCGGAACGATGAACATAATCAAGTGAAAGACAAGACGAGGTTTTTTTTAAGAAAGAGGACATTGGTAAAGTACAGTCAGCTATATTTTCAGTGACGAATGATGAGGAGAGGATTACATTGAACGGACAACAAAAAACAGCACCTGCATGACACTAACCACTAACACACATGTACAGTCCGTGTCCCGTGTGAGATCCTTTTTCGAAAAAGAGCAGGCGAGTAGCGCCGACACGGAGGATAGGGTTAGATTTGTTTTCGGCCGATAGATCTAGGTTCTCTTTATTAGACATTTAGAAGGACTTCAAATATATATATATACCACGGAATTAGATGTAAGTCCGTGTATAAACCAAACAAAATTCATAGAATAGGCATGCGCAGGAGCTGGTGAAGCTGGCGGCGGCTCAGTACCTCACTTCCGGTCCAGGCTCGGTGATGTTATACGACGAGTGTTAGGTTAAGGCAAATATTAGACATAGTACAGTAAATACATATAGGATAGACGGCTCCTTCTCTAATCTGTCTCCCTCTTCTATCCCTTCACTCCATACTTTATCTCTTCTACTCATTTTCCTGTCTTATCTTCGTCTGCTGGATAACCGAACTACTCGGTAGTGAAGCGGACGTCAATCAATCAATCAACCGGGAATATTTCAATAGGACTATACAACTCTGAAATCCTTGCTGCTATTCGGCTAAGGAGCGGATAGTCATTCACTGTCCTCTATTATTCATTATTTTTGTTTGACTGCACTCATATAACGAACTTTTTCATTGTTAATAATCATGCGAATTATTTAAGAAATAATCAACATATGTGCGTGCATTATGGTGGAATATATAACGAGGGTGAGAAAATGTTGGTAAAAATAATTAACGAAGGCCGCTACGCCCTGAGTTAATTATTTTTCCAACATTTTCGAATCCCGAGTTATTTATTCCACCATAATGCACGCACATTAGTTGATTTTTATTCTACCACGTCAAATGTAACTAATTGTAAAGTTTTGCTGTCTTATAAGGCGACATGACCTAGATAATTCGATATGCAAATTAGACGCTGTTCTTTTGCGCGTGCAAAATTTATCACGCTATCGTGTTGCCTCGTTTTAACTTGATCAATGTCGTGCCAATATTTCTCAGTGCGTAGGGTTTGGATTCCCGGATTGCGTTTACTTCTAAAACCATCATCATCGTACCGATATCAAGCGGATTTTCTTGGAAGTGCCAGTGATACAACATCATATGATAGGCCTGACATGAGTTTGCACATTTAGTTGGTTGCCATGACGTGATGGAAAGTCGCTGACCGGCTGATCATGATGCGACCTTCACCTTCACCGACTTCACCGGAAAGGAAATAATCAACATATGTGCGTGCATTATGGTGGAATATATAACGAGGGTGGTTGCAAAACACGTGTTTG